TTAAAATCAGTACTTTTTAATGGAAACAACATGACCAAAAATCTGTCACAGAATTTTGAGACCCATTAAAACAAAGTTTAATGAGAAAAAAAAAATAAATGAGAATGCCTGGTGAAGGTCAGTGGTAGGGCTGTCCACAGGGGTGCTGAAGTCATCTAGAACTTGAAGTCTGGTATTTCAAGCTGTTTTTAAGCTGCAAACAATTGGCCCAATGTGGAAGCTTGACCATAAAATTAATAGAAGAGGCTTGGAGGACCAGGGATGGAGTGGTAATGGTTTAGAAGTAGCATGAAGGATCAAGAAAAGTAAAGGGCCTACTCCTCAGTACTGTTGAACTCTTTATATTAAAGCTGCCTGACTCTAGGATTAGATCAAGCTGATCCACTTCCCTAAAGTTACCTATATATAATAGCAACATGTGTCTAGAATCCATGTGAAGTATACAGGCTATCCTAAAGGTTACCATACATACATAGGGAAAATGGGAAATTGTAGCTAAATGTACCTTTATTTACAAAATATTTACTAGAAAATTTTACAAAATAATTCTCTGTGTTGATATGTAAATATAAATACATTAAAATATAAAATATAATATGAGTTTCTTAATTTTTCCTATTTATGGTAAAATATACCACCCTGTATAAAGATGGTTCATATCCCACATCTTAGCTGAAGAGACAGAACAGGAAAGAAATCCAGTGGGATTGTATCTTGTATGTATTTAGCTCATGGGAATTTAAATGCATACATTTGAATTTAAAAAAGGAAATTATTTTAAAAATTATATTCTGCCCATGTCCTTTCCATGTACTGTCCACTAATTAGGCACATTTACATATCCGTATAACAGTTCAGTACTGTTTTGAAGGCTTTTTCAGTGGTATGTCTGCCCATTTTTGCTTTCCAGATTGCTGACTTTATTTTTTTTTTATTTTTATTTTTTTTTTTTTGAGACAGAGCCTCAAGCTGTCCCCCTGGGTAGAGTGCCATGGCATTACAGCTCACAGCAACCTCCAACTCCTGGGCTCA